TATGCCGAGTAGCGGATGCAGTGCAGCACGATCCGCACGCTCACCGATAATCGCGTCGTGCCAGAAAAAGAAATCGGTCGCATAGCGTCTGAAAGTGTGGTGGATTGAACGTGGAACGGGGTTGGCTGGCGTTTTATGCACGCTAAAAGCTGCGTGCTCCAGTGACGCTGCAGCTACGACGACGTTTCCTCCATTATTCTCCGCCCTCGTCCTTATCTTCCTTCTTATCCGCTTTACGCGCGAGCCCACGGAGAAGTATAAAACAATAACCGTGGCGCGAGTCACGATGAGAATTATCGCGAGCCTGGTTCTATCCTCCTCCATCTCCTCCTCGTCGTACAACGGGAAAATATTCCGCAAAATGTTTTTCTTCCGGCTGCGAACACGTTTGTCAAACTCTCCTGGCGTATTTTTCTGAATACATCGAACTAACGTTATTTACTCCTCCGTGTTCGCTTGTTTATATTATCCGAGGAGTATGCAAAATTTCTATCTACACAAAATTGTATGTACATATGTAGGAGACGGAGTGCAGAACGCAATTAGAGATTAGTAAAATATTATTAGGATAAACAACACTGATAAGGCTTTATCGCTTCGCGGGTAAAAGGAAACAAACAAACACACTCGCTCTTGTTTAATAACAACGAATGTCGAAAGTCTGCGGCAGGGTTATTTACGAAAACGAACTCGACCATATGATCGGCCCGCTCCGGTCATTAACTTCCTACGTATATATTCTAGAATAATTGGTAGCTCCATTGTAAGAATATGGTTGAGTGAAGCTAGGGACTCGGGCCGGTCTATGACCCGCAGACCTCTCGGTCCCAACGCCTGACTCCCCCACGCGCTAAGGGCTGGGTCAGGAAGGACCCAGCCACGTGCTCGCGAGACGCGGTCCTTGCCGGGTAGAAAGCCCCAACTTGCGCCAGGGTTTCCCGAAGGCAAGAGAGGGGCGTCAAACCGGCATATAAGGACGCGTTAGGAGCACTGCGGGCAGAAACGTAAGAACTATAAGAATTGTAAGGATTGCAGGAGAGTAGATTGAGCCGCGTAGTCAACGACGGAATGAATATAGTTTTTTTTAAATTATCGGACGAAGCACTGTTTAAACTGAAACCCCTTACACCACGACGTAAGTAATAGTAGACAATTTCGCGTAATGTTTTCCACAAGCAACCTCGAGGGCGGAATTCATCCGAGGAGCTCCTGGGAGAGATAGAAATCCGTCGAAAATGGCGCGGAAGTAAAGGGTGACTAAAGTGGGGCGAGGGTCGAAAGAAACAAAAGTAAATTACCGCAAAGACGGTATTTCGTTTCTGGTACTGGCGAGGAGGGAGGGTAGTCTCGGGGATCCGTCGAAAACTTTAAATAATTACCGGGGCCTGGATTATCGAGTTCCCCGGGTAGAATAGCCCAAGTTCGAGGGTGTGTCGACCGAGGGAAGCGGCGTCGGGGCGCTTTCGCGCTTTGCCAAAGCCACGAGGCGTAGGACGGAGTGGCGCGCGAGAGGGTTGAAGAGAGAATCGGCGGAGAAAGAGAGGTAAAGTCGAAAGGAGAAGAGGAACGCGGCAACCGAACGCGTTTCCACAGGCAAGACAGACCTCGAGATACGAGTTAATTATTTAATAAGCTGGAAAATTAATTGCACCGCTTCTTAATTAGTTAACGTCTCGCTTAGAAAGCGGAAAGAGTCTCTCTCTTCTTGTTAAGACCTGGATCCATGTTGTGCCGAAATCAGCGCGAAACTTGTGCCTGGTAGACGACGCGCGGTGTGTGTGCTTTTCCAAACCGGGTGCATCACCCTGTGGAGGAAACAGTCTGGGAAATTCTCCCTGTATTACGTCGTGTTCGCTGAGAAACGTCGGCGGGAGGCGAGGGAAAGGGTTGGAAAAGCCCTTTCGAAGTTCGTTCCTTCTCTCGGCCAGAGGATATAAATTAAACAGCGTACCAGTCAAGAACAGGCGAAATATGGGAGGGGAAAAAAAGATATTGGTAGCAGTTTATAGGCTGTGCTCTCTCTCTCTCTCGTTCTGCGGTTACGTTCGAGGAAGCAGTTCTGTTCCGTTCGACGGCGCGGTTTAATGCGCCACGTTCGAACCTGGCACGCGACCTCCGCGTTAATGTCAGCCGCGAAATTTACAACGATTCTAAACCCTTTGAGATTATGACCCTTTTCGCATTTATCCTCTTCCACGGGGCACGATCGCGATAACTTGGGTTACATTGTACCGCCCGTGAATTCTTTCTTAATGCAATACACACGTCGCCTGTACTTACCCTGCACCGTGCTGGCTGGTGGCCTTTTCTTAATTTCAAAGTCCGACCTTAACGTACCTCGACCACTCGCCTCTACTCCCTTCTAACGATAATTTCGACATCCGTTTGGGTGGACGGTAACCCTCGATCTTCCTTCAAGAAACCCGTAAAACTCTCGTATACACCGTTGATACATTTCCTCGATATCCTAAACGCTAACAAACTTCCGAGAATGAACTTTACCGTACGGATCGGTGAAGTGATTACACTTCGTACCAGAACGAGAGAGACGTCTCCCTTGATATCGAAGGTTCAACGATCTCTAACGATCATCGTACGGAACAATACTCGAGAGTGGACGTTCGAGGTTTATTTTCAAAGCTTCCTCTTCCTCGTGGCCCCTGACTTGTCGAGATCCCATAAGTGTACCACAGCACACAGCCACCACTCACTCACTCCCTTCTTCGTTTCTTATTAGTCCTGCGAGTTGTGCCTCCTCGCAATTCTTCCACAGGCGGGAAACAACCGAGTAGGAAGACACACAGAGAGCCGGAGGGGAAAAAAGAAATAATCTTGCCCCTCAATTTTACGGACCACCGAGTGGACGAGGTGGTCCGTGAAGAAGAAACGAAATGGCGGAGGACAATTCCTCGTGACTCTTCCTGCATATTACCCGCGGACGCGAGCCACTGGGACGAAAGGGGGCCAAGCATAAACGGGGAGGAACGAATTCGTTCTTCCAGACTTTCGACCGATGCGTCTCCCAACGTTATTACAGAGTTCGAATGTGCAATGTCGTAGTTTCTCGGTCACTTGACTTTTCGTTTCTACCGGCGAAAATCGTGCGTTTAAAGAACGCGCTCAGTCTCCACGATTCTTCTGCTCGCTCTCCTTTTTACGGATGCAATTTACCTAGACAATTGTCCTTCCGCGACAAATTCGTTTCGCGTTCTGTCCTCTTCTATCTCTCGATCGATGTTTTCGAGGAGTTCTAATTTCTTCTTCAGACAATCTTCGGAATATTTTACGGTTCTTTAAAAATACGGCATAGAGAAGCGGAAGATAAACGTTTCATCTCCGTTTCCCGTGTTGTTCAGTCGGAAATATGATAAGAAAGTCGACCTTTTCTTCCGATAAGAATAGCGAACGTCGAAGGAACCAATAGAATCGACTAGATGTACCGCGGTTCTAACAATTCGCGTTAATGTTGATTGCAAGCCAGGGGAAACGACGCGACGTTCTGAAAATTAGATCGAGTTCCCACTGTCGGTTTATCGACGGGCCAAGCGCAGGACGACACAATTCCCTTCGTCGGTGCCCTGCACTCGGCACTAATTAATCTAAAACGATTGTACCTGCCCGCATTGTTCCAGGCGTCGAATTAATTGCGGTGAACCGGAAAGGAAAACTTTCAACTCCGCTGTTTGTATCACACGTATGTACGGACCGATAACAACTGTCCGAAAAATGATTTTGAAAATTCACGGTATAATTTGATTAATACGTCCAAACTGCGAGGTGCAGGAGCTAAATAGAAAGAAAAATAACAATGAAACACATACATACCCAGTGAAAATTTCCCAGTGACAGCGCCCCAGCGAGAAACAATTGTCGAGGATTATAGCTTGACCGATAAAGTCTGCTGTGTATCCGAGCCAAGAAAGCTCGTGAAAAATAATAATAACGTCTTTATTACACGAGTAAAATAATACAGGTGCAAAGATGTGTGGCGGGTACGTCACTGCATTTAGTTTCCGTTCTTTTGTCTCTTCCCGGGTTAAGACTTGCCTTCGTCCTCGAGTAGCCTAACAAGCCCACATGTGGCATCCAGGTTTGCACGCTTTCTACAAATTTTCCGTTTCCACCACTTTCTCTACTCCTCTCTCCCTGGCCTACCAATATAAAAACCTCAGTTCAGTTTTTCTTCTACGACATACCCGCCGAACCGCTGCCCCAGGGACAATTAGCGAATGAAACGATTGTATTTTCGTACGCCGACCATCGCACTTAGATGTTAATAAACTGAGGTGAAAACAGTGCAACGCAGTTCCTCACCCACCTCAGATGGTACTCGACTTATTTGTATCTATAATCAACCGAGCAGAAATCATACGTGAAATACGTAATTAGTGGCGAGGACAGGGAAGGGAAATTAGAGGAATTAAACGTCAGATCGTAATGTTATTAAAAAGTAAGCACAGCTGAATAGAAGTTTCTTTGTCCGTTTCTTTTTATATAAGAAATCAGCTCTATCCGTGCTGTATATTATACGCGCAGCTCGGAGATGTTCCCTCTGCAGAGGTTACAAAGAATCGTCCGAGGAGGGAGGAACTGTTAGACCCGGGGAGACCAAGGTAGGGACAAGTGTTTCTTACGACGCAAGTTTGTTGGACGCCGCGCGAACACAATGGTATCGCGATCATGCGACGTTCAAACGAGAAAACTTCGACGCCGCTCTGAAGATTACGCTGCAAATGTTGCGCGTAATTTGTAACCGGAATCCTCCTCTGTATCCTGCGGTCACGGGGACTTTCTTCGACACTCGGGAGAACTTTTGCTTAGGTTTCGGATGACGAACGAGGCAGACTGTTCCGCGTTCGGATCTATAGACAACTCTCGAGAGTGTTTCCTCGACAAACGTTTCTTCCAAACTCAGGCGAAGACTGGAGAAAAATTGTAGCCAGAGTATTTGTCCTTTCTCCCTGTCGCAACGGTGATCTTTCAGCTCGTGATTTACTCACCGTTAGCGTGAGCAGCGAGGAGATCCCTCAGCTGCTGTTGACCGGTGGTTAATTCCACGCAACTGACCCTCACGCTGAATCTGGCGCCTGTTCTTTGCCGTTGCTCGGATATTCCGCGGAAAAGCCAGGCGATGGCGCAGGGAATCGCGCCTAGAGTATGGCCTGCCTCCGGTGTGCCTAGCATCGTGTGAGATTTGCCTGGAAAATACAAGAAATTCGTCACAATTTACAATCTTTCTTTTACCGAATTCCAAGCCTAATTCTCGTCGAGTTGTTCATTTGCAAGGTGGAAGGCTCTGGTGACATCTTTAAGTGATATCCATTTTAACTTTGACGGAGGTTCTTAGGTGACTTAATCTCGGAATGAAATTGCAGCTGTAGAAAAGTTTGAATGGCAGCACGCGTGGTTCGTCGATAATAATTCGTTACACGCGTTGATTAACGGGCATTCTTCGACGGACCGGAAGTCAAGGCAGGGTTAACGCGGCCCCTATCGCGGAACAAACACGGCCGCGATTGATTTCCCCCCGGTTTTCACGAGCACGTACCGGGGGTTGCTCTTTGAAAATCGAGCGGCGCGATTTGCCGGTGTGCAAATCTGCAGATCGCCGCCGAACGCAACAATCGCGACGCCTGATTTGTGGTCCCATCCCGGCGACAATTAATTTGTTTACTATTTACCATGGGCCACTGTTCGCGGAACCGTCCGTGCGATAAACGCTCCATCACAGTTAGAATGCGTAACGAGGCCCGTCAGCGGCGATCTAATTTATGCGACGGATGGATTGGAACCGATTAATTTGGTTACAATAACAAGTCCGCGGGTTTCGCCAATGGCGGCTGAAACGAATGTAATCGAGAATGCTCGGCGCTTTATGCGCTCAGACGTGGTCGATTTGTAGGATGGTTGAAAAGACTTGGAGAGAAATTATAGAATAAAATTTCAAACATTCTTGTTGCGTCGTGGACCTTGATCAACTGTTATGACGCAGGTTGTTGATAGTTCTCGCTGGTTCGAGGTGGAATGAAACTTGGTTGTTGGGTTAGATGTTTTTCTTTCGGTTCGTTGAGATAGATGTTGATGAATGATTTGCTTTCGGTTCGTTGAGGTAGATGGTTGATGA